GTCATGTATATGCCGACTGGTGCGTTAGAATCTGCTACCTTTATCGCTTCTCCAGTGAGAATTTCATGATATTTCATTGATTGAAAGTGAAGTTAAATAAATTACCACCCACATGAGGGCCAATCAAGTCCGTGATCACCGGAAATTTCATCGAAACTGTGCGTGAATTTATCAAAAATTAGCCGAAATCATCATTGAAATTCATGAAAATGGAATTGAACATCTCCAAAACATCGATTTATCGCATTTTGATAGAACATTTGGGCTTAAGAACGTGTGTGGGTGGCTTGTTCCGCACAAATTGACTGACGGCCAAAAATTCAACACTCAGTCGACGCTGGTGATAGATTATTTGAAGAAAAATCCCATTTTAACCAATAACCACTCCCCCTACTCACYCGATATTTCACCGTGCGACTTCTTATTTTTCGGAAAAATTCATTTGTGCAAGAAGGGAAAGCGTTATGCAGACGTGCAGGCCATTCAAAAGGCATCGGCATACTGGCGGCCATACCGGCCAACGAGCTAAAACACTCATTCGGCATGATTTTTTCCCATGCACAAAGCTGTATTGAAGCAGAAGGAGACTATTTTGAACAAAATAAATTGATTTTTCCAAAAAAAACAAAAACCTGTTTACTGTGCAACGCACCTTGTATTAAGTTCTTTAAGAAGCTTATGAGTTTCATTTTCGATTATTCTTCTTTTATGTAAAGCTATCGCCACAATACGATTTTCTCCCCACTCCATTGTTAATAAGCGAGAGCAAACATTAAACTGATTTTTACATGTACTATATCAGTATGCATTGAATACAAATTATAATGAAAAGTAACGACATTTTTGCCTGCGAATTTTTCCTCGCTGTATTACACACTGAACTTTGTAACAGAATTTATGGCAAGTGTATGCGTGAGGTACGTAGCTTTTATTCATATACATATACAGTGTCAACTGGAAAGGAGATAGGTCCATGCATTCATTTTCGAAAGGTATGAAGAGAGAGAGATCCCGGTTATGAAGTGATTTCTGAAATATAAAATTTCAAAATTTTATTTTTTTTTTTTTTTCAAAATATGGGCAGTGCCACAACGTTTCTTTCATTTCTGCTGTAATATTGGTTGACACTTTATAACGAATTACGTAAAAATTCCTTGATGACGATTACCTTTTAAGGCATTCCAATTAACWCAATAATACGTTGCTCTTTCGATCTCTCCACAGTGAATCTTTCCATATCGGATGACATGGTATCCAG